CCCTGGACGGACTTAGCTTACCCCGGCACTACAAAAGTTCGTCACAACACATTTTTGTCCAAAAAGAACATTCTGGTCGAACAGCACAAATTTCTATCAGAAACTCAGAGCGAGGATCAATCGATAACGGAATTTGTTGCGGCGCTTCAAAAAAGAGCAATCGATTGTGCATTTGTGTGTGAATGTACGAAACCCGTTTCTGATATCTTTCTTAGATCACAATTTATAAGAGGGCTACGTGACAGCTATATAAGAGTGCAGCTTCTACAAAATCCAGCAGTATCATTCGCAAAAATTTTAGAAACATCTACAACAGTGGAAGCCGCCAAAATCCATAATAACGCCATAGGGCATAGAGCAGCAGGTGCAGCAACTAACATCAATCAAGTTAAAACCTCAAGAGAAAAATATACGACAAACGAGAAAGAAAGCGCAGCAGCAACTTTAAAAGGGAATTAAGAGCAAAAGTCGATTACAGCGAATTAGGAATAGACGGTTTGTGTCTACGATGCGGTAAAAATAATCATATTGCAAAAGACTGCAAGATAAATAAGTACAAACTAAAATGCTTCGCATGTGGCAAGTCTGGTCACGTCAAAATAGTGTGCATAAAAGAAAAGATGAAACAGAATCAATATAAAGGCAAAGAAAATTCTGCCAATGCATTAGAAATGTACGAACCAAAAAACTACAGTTTCAATCAAGTTGTTAACATTTTTAAAACAACAGCGTCAACACAGACGCACACAAATTTTTCGCAGAAGTTATAATCGAAGGAAAAAAACAATGTTTTGAGATAGACTCAGGCGCAGGGTATACACTCATTCCGGAAAATGATTTCAAAAATCTGGACATCAAGTCAGAATTAAAATCAACAAACATTGCTTTCAGAACAAACACTGGAAATATTTTCAAGCCGTTAGGTGTTGTAGACGTCAATGTGAAATTCGGTAAAAACGCATCAAAAGAACAAATGTACGTTGTGTCGTCTAGCCATTCCCCACTACTTGGTCGTGTTTGGATACGTCATTTGAAAATCAATTTAAATGAAATCGACAGCATATCAGCAAACGAGCAAAATAACCCTTGTGAGGTATATTTAATTTCGCGTATAGTGTAAAAATATCCAGAAATTTTTGAAAAAAAGTTGGTTGTATTCCGGGTTTCGTGTGTAGTTTAAAGGCGCCAAGCCAATATTTTTGCTGGAGAGACAAATCCCATTTTACGTGAAAAGGTTGAAAAAGAACTTGATAGTTTAGAGCGAGATAACATCATCACAAAAGTAAACACTAGCAACTGGGGCTCGCCTCTAGTGGTAATTCAGAAATCGGATGGAAACGTTAGATTATGTGTCGACTATAAACTTGGTGTAAACCAGCAATTACAGCCAGCTCATTATCCTATAAAGCGCATTGATGAAATGAATGCTTACTGCGGTTAGAGAAATGTTTTGACCGACTACACAAATTTAACCTGCATGTAAATAAAAAAAAATGCGAATATTTCAAAGAGCAAATACCGTATCTAGGTTATGTCATAAGCCAAAACCAAATATCTAAGTATCCAAGCAAAATAAAGGCTATAGCCGAACTTCCTCCCTAGAGGACACAGATGCAGTAAGAAGATTTTTGGGTATGATCACTTATTATTCGAAGTTCATCCCGAATGTGTCATCGCTTACATATCCGTTAAGGGAGCTATTACAAAAGCAAAAACCATTCAAATGGACACAATGGAATGTAGCCGTGCCTTTACACTGCTGAAAAATGTAATACTATCAGACCGCGTACTGAGGCCATACGATGAAACATTGCCGATAACAGTGGCATGTAATGCAAGTCCAACAGGCATTGCAGCGGTTCTTTCTAACGTTGTTGATGGCGAAGAGCGGTCTGTGGCGTTTATCTCACGTGCGCTTACAAAGGCAGAACAAAGCTACAGCCAATTAGACAGAGAAGCGATAGCCATCATATTTGCAGTAGGCAAGCTGTTTATGTACTTACATGGCAGACAATTCATCTTGATTACGGATAATCGGCCTGCATCGAGAATTCTACACCAAACAGCGAAAATCCCTGCAATGACATCCGCCAGATTGTTACGCTACGCCTCATTTCTTCAGGGATTTAATTACAAAATAAAACATCGTAGTGCAGACGAAAACGTGAACGCAGATTGCTTGTCGAGGGCACCAGTTAAAGAAAAACTAAAATTCGAAAATATTATTGAAGAAGAAGTGCACGTGATTCAAGAGCAAATTATAAACGAAATTTCTCCGTAACAGCAATTACGGTAGCTCAGGCAACAAAGGAAGATCCCGAACTAGTAAAACTAAAATCAGAGTTTATTACTGGAATCAACAACGAACCAGAATACTCGATACAAACTGGTGTCATCCTTAAAGCTAATCGAGTCCTGATTCCAAAAAAGCTCCAAGAGGACGTTTTGAAAGAACTTCATCATACACACTTAGGGATTGTTAAAATGAAGCAGTTGGCTCGAAAGTACGTCACTTGGAACGGGATTGATTTAGACATTGAGCGTACGGTTAGAGGATGCGAAAGCTGTGCAAAAGTTATGAAAGCCCCTCCGAAGGTGGCAGTGCATCACTGGGAAGAGCCAACAGAAAATTTGCAGCGCGTTCATATCGATTACGCCGGCCCTTTCATGAACCACAATTTCCTAGTTTTAGTGGACGCAAAGTCCAAGTGGCCGGAAGTGCGGGTGTTAAAAGATGCCCCATCCACACAAGTAATTATCGATCTTCTGAAAAGATCGCAGATCATTGTATCGGACAACGCCACAATATTTACAAGCTTAGAGTTTACAGAATTTTGTCAAGCAAACGGAATCATTCAGAAATTTATCGCACCAGGCCATCCAGCCACAAATGGCCTTGCTGAGAGGTACGTACAAACGCTAAAATCAAAACGGAAATCTATGGAAGACGATGCAACTCCGTTATATGAAAAAGTCCAAGAAATTTTACTACGTTATCGAGCAACACCTTTAGCCTGCGGAGATACTCCAGCGAAATTATACTTGGGTCGAGAAATCCGCATAAAGCTAGATGCCATTCGACCAAACAAACATAAGAAATCAATTGGTCAGACGTCACATGGACGCCATATTAGCGTCGGAGATAGGGTGCAAGCACGTTCATATGGAGGAGGAAAATCTGGATGGAAATTTGGTGTCGTCACGGCCAAGTGGGGCCACTTACATTACGAAGTGTTGTTAGACAGCGGATATAAGCTGAAGC